TGAAGGTACGTACGAATTCAGGATATTTTTAAAATTCGACTTACGAGACTTTGACCAAAGAGAATTATGAACAATTATTCATCTTTGAATATCGATATATCTGTACATCATGTGATTGATTAACTCTTTGTTTTTTTTTTGAAATAAATAAGCCGATCATGAGCCAGGTTTCAACGATCTCAACAATTACCAGTTTATCAGAAAATATGTTCCTGGTCGAAAGTGGTAAATAGGGATTTTTTTTTTTTTTTTTATCTTCCTTTCACAACCTATTAGAACAGATTAGTTGATTTTGAACGTTGATTATTATAGTAACGGATATGTCATCCTCGCCGTTATCCATTCCAGAGTGCCTTTCAAGAATTTTTGAATTCCTTTGGGATGACAAAAATTCTTTGCATAATTGCCTTCTAGTTTGTCGCTCTTGGTGTAGAATCGCTATTCCGATATTATGGAGAGAACCATTTATATTATTGAAAGAAAAACCTAATGAATATCTTCTTAGAACTTATATTTCATGCTTTGAAGATCAAATTCAATGGTCTTTTATTCGGAATTGGATGTTATTCCCCATCACTACCACATCACCTTCTCATCCGACATTATTTGATTATCCATCATTTTTACGGTAAATAGAAAAATAATGTAATAATTTTATTGTATATATATATTTTTTTATTTAATAGATTAAAAAATTTGTTTAAATATTTGTAACTTTTGTACTCATGGTCAACTTTTTTTATATAATGTACTATATTTTTTAAGACAGCTCGACTTACGTTCTATGTTCAGTTTAATCAATGCCTGGTTCGTGAAAACTGCATCAAACGAAGTACAAAGGCGCTTTAGAGAGAGTGAAATTTGCATTATTTTAATTTCCAATAAATTGCTCGAGTTATTACTAAGTCATTGTCCTGCTTTGGATACATTAATTCTTTGGTCCGGAACACCAGATTACATTACAATCACTCAATCATTGTCTGGCAAGAGTACCTGTATCTCTCGATTATCAACACTTCAGATCGAAGGAAATTATCATGATATTGATTTATTCACATTATCACAACAATGTTTTCACCTAAAAAAATTATTAGTAGATGTTGAGGTTACATATCATGGAATGAATATGTTGATTAATCTTATTCAAGTTCAACATAATCTTGAACATTTTCGGCTTGGTTTTCGACCAGAGAATAACGGATTTACAAATCATGTTACTCCACGTCTTCTCACTTCATTAGCATCTCAAGCTAAATCTTTACACACTGTTGAATTTAATAGATGCAACTTTCTTGAATGTGATGATTTAAAGGAGCTTGCACAATGTGAAAATATTCGTCATCTGATATTATGGAAATGTGTTGGCATAGGACCGGATAAGATGCGTACATTACAAAATACAAATTTTAGTAAATTGAAAAGATTAGAACTTTACGTACATCCTGGAATTTCTGCTGACATGGTTATTAAAATTATTCGAGAATCAAACAATCAATTACAAAGTTTACGCCTTGCTGGGATAACACCACAATCAGATTTGCTTAAGGTTTTAGCAGTGATGACGATGCATTGTCAACACCTCACAGATTGTAGGCTAGTACTCAAAGATGGAGATAACAACGCGTTTAACGCTTTACTCTCATTTTTGGATGTATCAAATAAGTTGGAAATTCTCTATATCACTTTTACTGATAGGGCTTATCCTATATGTAAATATGAAGAAATGGCAAAGCATTTACCAACCGGCTTGCATGAACTTGTATTCCGAGACTTTTTATTTACTCCACAATCACTTGAAGCCTTTTTGGAGAATATGAATACTTCATTTCAATCTTTAAGCTTTTCTAAGAGATATTTTTCTCCGGCACACATCGATGCTATTATTAGATATGTTAAAAAGAACTCTAATTTGTTTCGATTGATGAAACATTCTCGATATATGTCTATAAAATCAAGATCAGCACCATGTAATTTTTTTTTTTTCTTTTTAAA